AAGAAATTCTGTTGTAGAGTAGTAAACGGTGGAAAATGTGGAAGAACAATTTCTGTTATTGCCGTTTCATAGAAAGATATATATATCTGTCTCTCTCCGTTGTTTGATACATTAATTAGATAATTTTTATTGCTTTATACATCAAATAATAAAGTGACACATTAATGTCACGTAGAAAGAGTACAATAGTCTTGTGAATAGCATTACTCCGTCCAAAAAGACAATCTCGCCCTTCATCTTCCATCAAATTTTCCGAATCCTGCCACTTCTTGATCAATCTCTTCCTTCTAACTAATTCAACTTCATCAAATAGATCATAATTCAAATCAGAAAATTATTCATCTTCTTCACCGTTCGATTAATCAGAGCAGCAGCGAGAAATTTGAATCCGAAAGCATCAATTTCCATCTCATACGAACCAATCGTAATTGTTCAAAATCAAAAAAACTTTTACTAGGATTCAAACCAAATCGAAATAAATTAACTAAAATAGGGCATACAATTGAAGACTACTAATCCATCAGACACACACTGCCATAACAGGGCTTCTTTGTTTTTCTTCTTAATATAATAACACATTAAACTTAACCCCCAATCTTTCAAGATTTTTTTTAGCACTCTCCACTGAAATTGTTATCAGCAACATCGAGATCGAGCCCGATCTCCAAATTGTCTATTTGATTCGATTTTTCGTCACATTCGACGTGAGCCTGCAAATATATGTGTACGTATTCGATAATTTTGACGCTCAGATCTTGACAATTTTGGCTGCTTTTACCAACGGATTTTCCTTCGCGATGGCCTCTCGTCCGGCAGCCTTATAGTCGTAGCTACAATCGTGCCGGTCGGAGTACCGATGCTCGGCGCAGAAAAGTTCACCGCAACGGCATCGGAATCCGGTCAACCCTACCTTCCTTCGGCAACCGGAACACCGAGTTACCTGCCTCTTCACTATCAGGCCATCAGTTAAATCCGATTTCTTCGGATCTTCACTGGTCTCCTCTACATCCCTAACCAGAGAAAACCTGAAAACGGAGCTAGAACTGCTAGATTTCTCGTGAAATAAAAATGTTTTTTGCTGAGCTCCACCTCCCGATGTGGCAACCACTGAAGAAGCGCTGGTGGCGGAGGATGAAGCAGTTGTC